CACAGCCACAGCCTGGCTCTGCCTCAGACACAAGGCAGAAATCATCCTGAGAGCCATTTCAGAGCCCACAATCCACGGAAACGTGCCACAACAGCCGTGTCACAGTGCCACCCCCTGTACAGGGCATACAGGGAGCTCAGCCTTCCTCTTGGCTCCAGGGCTGAGCTGGAACCCCAGGAAATGATCTCCTTGTCTGGGGATGAGTGGCACATTTTTACTGACAAAGTGACTGAAAGGGAAGGTATAGGCACTGTATCTTCCAGCTACTCATCCTTCCTGCAAGAACATGGAAAAAACCAACTTTGATTAGGCTCTGCAGCATCTGTGTGCAGTCCTTAATTTTCCCATTCCACTCTTAGGGATTTTCCCATTCCACTCTTAGGGATTTTCCCTTACCTACCTTTGTGTTATGAGGCTCTGAGGAATTAGATTGTTAGTTCACCCTATACCAATCTTACATAAGTTTGGGTTTTGTTCCTTTGAATAGTCAGGCACAGAAGACTTGGGGTAAAGTTCTGGTCCTGCCTGTGTGTCCGTGTGTCCGTGTGTCCGTGTCTCCGTGTCTCCGTGTGTCCATGTCTGTGTGTCTGTGTGCCTGTGTGTCTGTGTGTCCGTGTGTCCGTGTGTCCGTGTGTCCGTGTGTCTGTGCGTCTGTGTGTCCGTGTGTCTGTGTCTGTGTATCCGTGTGTCCGTGTGTCCGTGTGTCTGTGTGTCTCTGTGTCCATGTCTCTGTGTGTCCGTGTGTCTGTGTGTCCGTGTGTCCCTGCTGCAGAAATCGGGAATCAGGAGGGGTCACTGGAGATGTTTGGGTAAATCAGTGGCTGAAGAAGGAGAGCAGCAGAAATCGGGAATCAGGAGGGGTCACTGGAGATGCTCGGCAGTGAATCCGCGCCTGGTTTCTCTGTGTCCTGCCAGTGCGGTGTCGCCTGGCCGCGGACACAGTGCTGCCCTGGGACCCCGAGGGTGACCCCGGCTCAGGGCCGGACCAGCCCGGCCAGGAGCGCCCCGAGGGGGAAAACGCCGCTTTTCCTGCCCGAGCATCCTTCGAGCATCCTTCGAGCATCCTTCGAGCATCCTTCGGCTCGGGGGCAGCGCTGCCCGGCCCCGGCGTGTCCCGCTCCCTGCCCGCCTGCCCGGGGCTGGAACCGCGGGGGGAAGGCGGGGAAAGGCGGGGAAAGGCGGTGGAAAGGCGGGGAAAGGCGTGAAAAGGCGGTGGAAAGGCGGGGAAAGGCGTGAAAAGGCGGTGGAAAGGAGGTGGAAAGGCGGTGGAAAGGCGGTGGAAAGGCGTGGAAATTCAGTGGAAACGCGGGGCTGCAGCTCCCTCTGCTGCAGGAAAACCTCCTCGAGCGGGACCGGAGCTCCCCAGCACAGCCTGCGGGGTCTGGGGCGGACAAATCCCCTCAAACAGCATTTAACTGCATTTCCCACGGAGCACAAGCCTGGTCTGGACTCTCAGGAAAGCCACAACACCTCTGAGCACTCGGGCTGGAGGCACCGGGCATTCCCTGTGCTGCCAGCAAAGCTGGAGAGGCTGCTGGCTTCCTCCTGGGCTTGCCTTTCCCCCCTTTCAAACTTAATCTTGGGTAGGAATTGTTCCCTGGCAGGGTGGGCAGCCCTGGCACAGGTGCCCAGAGCAGCTCCTGGATCCCTGGCAGTGCCCAAGGCCAGGCTGGGCATTGGATCTGGGAGAACCTGGGGCAGTGGGATGTGTTCCTGACATGGCAGGGCTGGCACTGGGTGGGATTTAAGGTCCTTCCAGCCCAAACCATGTTGTGATTCTATGGCTTTAACGTCCATAAAGAATGGAGATGTGATTTATAATAATCATTTAAAAAATAATAACAATAATGGACAGAGCAGAGTTCTTACCTCCAAAATAAGTTTCCCCTTATGCACAGGGAAAGAATATGGTTCTTTGTAAAATTTCCTTTGATGCTGATATTTGGGGACATTCATTTAGCCTCTCCAAGGCTTGGAAAGCAATTTGCACAGTAAATTTCCCCCTTTATTTTTAAAGCTCACATCAATGCACTTATAAAGAATATGTAGGTTTTTGTTTTGATGTTATCATAACTTTTTCTTTCCTATTTGCTCGTGTTTTTCTGCTGTCAGTCATAGCCTTTGGGAAGCCACTGACTCCAGTTTTTTTTGATTCTGATATAATTTCCACTGGAATTTGGCTTAGTCATCCCATTTCCTTTTTCTACTTCGATGTCTGTTCTCTTGAATGTCTTCCTGACATTTATACAGACCAATATTTATTGTCTGCTCGTGGCTGCAGTGCTGCACTTGCATCAAGTGCCCAAGATACCCCACGGGAGCTGCTGCTCTGATCCCGATTTGCTGTTTGATTTAAGTGTTTTTAATGGAAGATGAGCAGGCATTTAGGATTCCCACTACATCTGTCAGTGGCCTTGGCAATGCTCAGGGATAAATCCATCCTGTGCTGAAGCAGTTCACAGTTACCATTGTCATGGTGACCTTTGCTGTTGTCCTCATTCAAATCTGGCAGGAGATAAAGGGTGGAACAGTTCTGAGAAGCAGAGGAGAGTTAAAATGTTCATTAATATTTCACTGAAGAGTGGTGAAAGAAATCACAGAGTTACTCCCATCAATTTTCTTATCAGCAGACAAAATGGAGTGGAGGGATCCTGGCACTGGCAGATGTTTTCTTGTAGGAGGAATTCAGCAGTGCCTCTGTTTGAACAGATTTGGGGGGTTGAAGAGACGTGTTCTCACTGAACAAAGGGCTGTGCCAGACTTGACCAGCTCCCAGGTTTCCAGCTGCTGAAGGTTAGAGATACCCAGTGAGTAATACCAGAACACTGCCTTAAGATCTTTTTTCTCTTTTAATTGAAATTGAGGACTGGAGGGAGGCTGGGCATTGTCAAAGAAATGGGAAATTTACTGTCTCAGAATAGGACAGCAGATAGGACACTGTTGGGGGCTCAAAGACCAGTGATATCTTCACTGTGAAAAGGCTTCTGCCTCTTTCAGAGGCAGTGATATAGAGACATTAAAATAATAACAGAATCTGATTCAGGAGCCAGCTCAATTTCAGAACATTGTGCTACTGGATGTTGTCAGGCCCTGGTGGAGTGCTGGCACAGGAGTGAATAATACAAAATTTGTAATAAAAGCACTGGTAAAATTGCCAGGAAAACAAAATTACTGCACCTTTTCCTATGAAATAAATCTATTTTCTGTCCCCTAGGGCTTGTTTTCTGCCATTTGTGAGAAAGAAAGGCCCATTTTGCCATCAAATGCAGCTTACTCCAAATGAGCTTCAGTTTTCTCTAGACTATGAATTTTTTTGCAGATCCTAACAGCTTCAGGAATTCTAGTGGTAAAGGTTTTGGGTGGGATACTGAAAATGTGGTTACCTATCTTAGGCTCAGGGTCTAACAGTAACTTACATTTCCAGGCCCCATGCATCTGGCAGCATCTGGGCATGTAGTCCTGGGAAAAAAGGGTTCCTGGTGATTAAAAATAATGCCAGCACCCCAGCCCAAAAATGAAGCCATCATTTTGGGCTTGGACTTAAAAGATTATTTCTCAGGTTAATAACGATAAGCTAAAGAAAGTTGCATATTTGCATTCATTTTTGCACACATAGCAGTGAAGTTAAATATAGTTTGTAAAAAAGACTCACAAAAATACTATGCAGGCATACAAATCAGGCTGTCTTGTGAAGCTCAATAAACAAAAAGGAAGCAGCATTTTAATCAAAATGAGGAATTGCATGCTAATCACCTCTCAGCACATGCATATTTCATAAGTCATGTTCTGCAAAGCAAAGGCTGTGAGGGGCTGCTCTCACCTCCTCAGCTCTCCCAGCACAAGCCCAGCCTATGGAGCCACACTTGCTCCTGTGCCCAGGCTAATGCACCATCGTTACCTGTGCCTGTCTGGCAGAGCTGTGCTGTTCCATTCCCCCTGTTCCTTTAGAAAATTCGGGACGCGGGGGCAGCGATAGATAACTGGAGGGAACCTGACCATATTGTAAGTTATGATAAAAGCTGCCACAGAGAGCAGCGAGGTGCAGTTCAGATCACAGCTACACTGTGTGAGAAGCCAGACTGAAGCCGTAAGTCACCTGCCGTGAGCGGGCAGGGCAATACAAAGCAGCTTTCTGCCCAGGGGCGCCGCGGGACATTCCCGGCCGACACAAACCGGAGCTCAGGACGGGCTGCGGGAGGCAGAGGGGGACAGCAAGGGGAGGAAGATCCCGAGGGAGCTCCTTGCTCGCTGCCCCCAGGGCAGGGTGCCCATGCGGGTACAGCGGGGCAGTTTCCAGCCCCTGATGAGGCTCGGCTGGGGTGGTGCGAGGAACGGAAGATTTCGGTGCCAGGCTGGGGGTGCCAGCGAGCTGCCCGCTGTCCCCGGAGGGTGTCCGGGAGCTGCAGGGAGGCAGCGGGGATGCTACAGGGAGGCAGAGCCACGAACACGGGCGGAGTGCGAGCCCCGGAGCGGCGCGGCAGCACCGGCAGTGACATCCCGGGCTGACATCAGCCGGCAGCGGAGGTGCGGCTGGGCGGGACACCGCTCCGGGCTGGCAGCGTCCCTGCCACCCGCAGCATCCCTGCCACCTGCAGCATCCCTGGCACCCTGCAGCGTCCCTGCCACCCTACAGCATCCCTGCCACCTGCAGCATCCCTGCCAGCCTGCATGCAGCATCCCTGCCACCCTGCATGCAGCATCCCTGCCACCCTGCATGCAGCATCCCTGCCAGCCTGCATGCAGCATCTCTGCCACTCTACAGCATCCCTGCCACCCGCAGCATCCCTGCCAGCCTGCATGCAGCATCTCTGCCACTCTACAGCATCCCTGCCACCCTGCAGCATCCCTGCCACCCTGCATGCAGCATCCCTGCCACCTGCAGCATCCCTGCCACCTGCAGCATCCCTGCCACCTGCAGCATCCCTGCCAGCCTGCAGCATCCCTGCCGTCCTGCAGCATCCCTGCCAGCCTGCAGCATCCCTGCCGTCCCGCAGCATCCCTGCCAGCCTGCAGCATCCCTGCCACCCTGCAGCATCCCTGCCGTCCTGCCGCCCCGCTCCTCCCCGCCGCAGCTCCGGCAGCAGCCCGGGACCAGCCGCCTCTCCTGCTGCCCGCCACAGCCCGGGCACGGCCGTGCCCCGCCTCAGCACCTGCCACCCGGCAGGGGAATGCCATGGGACACCTGGGCAGCCCCCAGCCACCCTCCGACAGCACGGCAGCGATTTTGAAGAATTCCATTTTCTTTTTCAGCGCCTTTGCTGTTCATTGTTGCCTGGCTTTTTGAGAGCATGAGTTCTGGTCGTTAGGGGTGCTGCCACCTGAATATTTCTTCATCAGATGCCACAGAAGAGAGTCTAGGAAAACAAAGAAACTTGTGATGTGGAGCTGACAGTTCTGGTTTCAGCTTGCAGAATCAGAGAGAAAGCAAAGGAAAAAAATGCCCAGGACAATGCCGGTAACTCCTGGTAATTTGTCACTCAACGGGACGAGCTTCTTGGCTGACAATCACAGCACCATGGACAAGCCCAGCGAGCAGAGAACTTGGAATGTCTTTCTGTTCTGCTCGACTTTTGCCATTGCACTCCCAGCCCTTCTGGGCAGCATTTATGCACTCGTTTCCCTGCTGAAGCTGCAGAATAAAACCACGGTTTCGATGATTGTCACCTCCCTGGCAGCAGACGATCTGATCAGCATCGTGCCAGTGATTATTTTCATGCTCATGCAGTGGTCGAGCGAAGTCCTCCCCCAGCCTCTGTGCACCACCTCAGCGTTTATGTATTTATTCCAGGGCATTTCTAGCAACCTGAAAGGCTCTCTTATAGTTTCTTACAACTTCTACACTCTGCACACGGCCGGGACGCGGAGCCGCAGCTCCCCGGAGCGCCGTGGGAGTGTGGCGTGGGCCATCCTCAGCATCTGGACTGTCAGCGGGCTGCTGTGCGCTTTGCCTCTGTGCGGCTGGGGCAGCTACACCCGCACGTCCTGGGGCTGCTTTGCCGACCGGGGCAGCTCGCAGGTGCTGCTGCTGCTGGCTGTGTACTCGCTGTGCCTCTCGCTGCCGGCAGCGCTGGCTGCTCCCCTGACCCTGCGGCTGCTGTGCTCGGGAGAGCCGCGGCTGCTGCCGCTGCGGGGCTCGGGGGGGCTCCGCCTGCCCCTGCCCCGGGACCCCGCGGGGCTCCCCCTGCCCCGGGACCTCGGGGGGCTCGGGGGGCTCCGCCCGCCCCGGGACCCCGCGGGGCTGCGCCGCTGCCGCCCCTCCGCCGCCACCGCCCGAGCCCGGGGATAAAACCCCGGAGCCTTTCCAAAACTCACAGGTGGATTTTGGGGAGGGTGTGGCGGAGAGCAGCGCACAGAGCAGGAGCTTCACGGTGGGCTTTGCCCAGAAACGATTCTCGCTGGTCCTGGCACTGACCAAAGTCCTTCTCTGGCTGCCAATGATGGTAAATTCTCAGATGGCTTCACTTTCCAAAGCTCACTTCCATTTCAGTGGGACGTCACCTGTGGGCCATGGGCTCAAACAGATGAAGAGTGGCCACTGCAGCTGCTGCTCGTAGTGTAGTTGTGCCAGCAAAAGTCCTCTCCAGCAGGTCTGTGTCACTGCATGAGTTGAACTGGTGCCCAGGGGGTTTGGCAGGGTTCATTGCTCTGGCATCTCCCGTCACACCGTTCATGCCACGCGGACACTGGGACAGTAAGGTCCCCCTTGGGTACTGCCAGCTGTGGGACAGGCCTTGCTCAGCATTCTGGGGCTGGCAATTGAGCTAAGAGCCCTTCTGTCCCCTCCTCTGAGACACATCCTTTGGGTTTAAAAATAAGAGTTTGGTGGGAAAATGCAGTTTGGCTGCACCTTTGTAAACCCTGCAGTGCTGGGGCAGGAGGGACGTGTGTCTGTGTGGGGGGGGGGAACAGGAACCTGAGAAAGGCTCTGCTGGGAACAGGGAACGCGGCTCTAGGCAGGTACCCCCACCCTTGGGTGTGTGAGGCTGGGGCTCCTCGGTACCACACGGGACTGGCTGGCACTGGGAGCTGCTCGATGGTGCTCAGCACCTACATTTAGCTTCAGTGAGGGCTTTTCTGAGAAATGCAGCATGAGAGGAGAGCAGTCAGCATGTCTGCCAGAGCCACAAGTGCTATCCTCAGCAAACACTAATGACAAGCTGTGTCTTACAGCACTGTCATATTCACAGCGAGATGTTCTCCCTGTTCCTGGAAGCATCTCATGTGCCCAGAGTGATTTAAATTTCCAAATGCTCTGCCTTTCAGACACAGCTGGCTGTCCAGTACATGACTGGGCTGCAGAGCCTTTCTTTTGAGACACTGAGCTTCCTGCTGACGGCGCTGGCTGCCACAGTCACCCCGCTGTTTGTCCTGTCACAGCACTGGCTGCACCTGCCCTGCGGCTGCATCATCAACTGCAGGAGGAGCTCCTCTGCAGGGTCTCCACAAGATGCCAAAAGTAAGCGTGGAAGGGTTGCCTTGGTGTGACAGAGGTTGCCTTGGTGTGACAGAGGTTGCCAGGCCTCCCCTGGTCACCTTCTTGGCACCTTCTAGAGCCCTGTTTTGCCCTGGGCTTTGTGTGAAAGTAGCTGGAGGAACAGAGTGCGTCAGGTGGAAGAGGCTCACAGGGATCATGTGCTCTTAACTGGAAATGTTAAAGGCTAAATATTTGTGAGGATGTGGGGATTGTTTCCCATTCTCTGGAGTGAAAATCCTCTATGATCAGTGAACAAATTCCTGATATTCTCTCCTTGTTCAGAGAGAAAGAACTCCTGAATCTGAGGGAAAAACCATCCCCAGTGCATGGCTCTCACTTGCTTTAAACACATCACCCAGGTGGAGATGGCTTGTGCAGCCCTGCTGCCCTTCACAGCCACTTTCCCAGAGAGAATGGCTGCAGTTCATCTAGGAGGCAGCTCCTTCGCACCTTCTCACAAGTCTTTCTTCTCAACAATTCATTTTTCTAATGGAGGGAAAATTGCCTGTTTCCAGCAGGAGCTGGATAATTTCTTCCATGTTTTAGCATGTCATCTGCATGTGTTTGTAATCTCATTTTTCTTTTTGGCCTCAACTCCTAACGCAGTTTCTTTCTGTCCCGCTTAGCCAAGCGCAGCGGTTTGGAGTTCAACCTGTCGTTCCAGGAGGGCTGTGGGATCTACAGGATATCCCTGGCGAGCCCTGCCTGCGGGCAGCCTGGCAGAGGCAGTGCCAGCCCCGGGGCGCCAGGGCAGGGCTGGCAGGGCACCGCTGCTGCCAGCCCAGGGCCGTGCCAGGGCCAGCAGGGCTCCCAGCCCTCGGCGTGCCCTGCGGGAGCAGCGTGGGGACTGTCCCACCAGCACGGCCACCCGCCCGCCCTCTCGGACTGGGACTGGTGCCGCAGCAAATCCGAGAGGAACCCCCGGCAGGTAAAGCAGGAATTTATTCTTTTCTGTAAGAAGAGCTTCCTTATGAAATAGGAATCATTTTTACTGACACTGATACTCCATTAGTCCCATTTTTTAGTAAAACCCATGCATGGCATTGTATGATGTTTAGTAAGCACAGATCTATTTGCAGGTGTTGATCCTGCAGTAATTTCTCACTTGTCTTCTTAATAGTGGGGTTTTCTTCTTTTGTGTGCACCTGCATGATTTGTATATGATAAGAAGTAAGTATGAATGATGTTACTTTATCTTAATGAATAGGAAGTTTCTCTCCAAAAGATGACATTTTCCAGAGAATTCCACTGTGGAATTCAGCGGCTGTTGGGCATTGCAGTAGGTGGGAGTGGGATAAGAGCCCAGTGAAGTCTGTGAGACAGGAGCTCTGGAAGGCTTCATGGAGGAAGGGCTCTCTGGAAGTCACTAATCCAACCCTCTGGTCCGAGCAGGGTGGCTTCAGGGCCAGAGCAGCTCGTGCTCAGCTCTGCACACGCACAGGAGATGGATCAGATGTATTGAGTATTCAAATACGGGCTTCTCTCTCCACCTGATAAACACCAGCTTATCACCTGAGTCACAGCAGGAATTGGCTGATATTTCAAATGTGACTGATCATCCCTTTCATAAAAAGCAATGCTCACTCTGTTGCATTGTACAGAGATGAATTCCTGCGTTTGGGGGCAAAAGGGAGTGATGACAGCCTGGTTTTAATCTACCAGCTCTTGCCAAGACCTTGTGTGCCATGTACAGCTTGGTTAATGAAATCACGGTATCAGGTTCATAACTGTGGCTCTCCTTGCAGGAGTTTCCAGATGATGTTTAAAAAAAATTTTAAAAATTCCTTTCCCCACATCCCTGGTGCCAGTTGAGCTGCAGCCTTGGGACTGCAGCAGGTGTGAGCAGCTCTTGTGAGCAGCTGGCAGTGACTGCCTGCGGGTGTTTTGTGTGCCCTGGGGCCTTGTACGGCACTTTTGGACTTACTCTTCCCTTCTTGCACTACAAAGAATCACCACTCATCTACTTCTGACACCTTCCCAGCTATGACCCAGTGCCAGGCACTCAAGCTCCTGTGGGTAAAAGTTCCAGTTCAGGTTTTCTGGTGGATTTGTGCTGGTTTTTTTGCTGATTTATGCTGGATTTTCTGGTGAATTTGTGCTGGGTTTTCTGGCCGATTTGTGCTGGGTTTTTTGGCCGATTTGTGCTGGATTTTCTAGTGGATTTTTGCTGGGTTTTCTGGCTGATTTGTGCTGGTTTTTTGGCCGATCTGTGCTGGGTTTTCTGGCCGATTTGTGCTGTTTTTTTGGCCGATTTGTGCTGGGTTTTCTGGCCAATTTGTGCTGGTTTTGGCAATCTCAGCTCTAACAGCGCTGTTCCCCTGCAGCGCACGGCTGGGGCCCTGGCCATGCCTCTCTGCGCCTTCCAGGGCACCGTGTCCCTGCAGGCCCCCACCGGCAAAACGCTCTCCTTGTCCACCTACGAGGTGAGCTCCGAGGGGCAGAAGATAACCCCGGCGGCCAAGAAGATGGAGGTGTACCGCTCCAAAAGCGTCGGGCACGAGCCCAGCGCGGCCGAGCCTCGGGCCACGCTCGCCGACACGAGCGTGAAGATTCACCTGGAGGTGCTGGAGATCTGCGCCAACGAGGAGGCCCTGGACACCGTGTCCATCGTCAGCAGCATCAGCCAGTCCTCGGCGCAGGCACGCTCGCCCTCGCTGCGCTTCTCGCGCAAGGAGAACCGCTTTGTGAGCTGCGAGCTGGGCGACAGCGCCTCGTACTCGCTGCGCATCCCCTCGCCCAGCCCCGGCTGCGGCCTCAGCATCTCCATCCCCGACACCGTGGAGGCTCACCGGCGCAACAGCCAGCAGCAGCGCTGGGCCGGGGCTGGGCACCAGGAGGAGATCCAGCTGCTGAACAAAGCCTACCGCCAGCGCCAGGAGCCGGGCAGCAGCTAGAACAGGCCTTCCAGCTCCACGCTGCTGCTGCTGCTGCTCTGCCAGACAGCGCTGCCCGCGCCCCCGGGACCCAGCAAATACAGCATCAGCTGGTTCTTTGCCTAGCGTGCAGATTTTATTTAGGTGCACTTTGAATCAGTTCAAACTGTTAGTGCTGTATCAAGGGGATAACAAATACTCAAGTGCTTTACAGCTTTCTATGGTGGATTTTAAGTTATTTATATACCTATTTATTTGAGGCACACATGTGTCTAAAGGGAATCCTAAATAAAATCTTAAACCCCAGCTTTGGTGTTTGTTGGCACTGGGTGCGTGTGTGCAGGAACCTGTGGAAATGAGGGAGCAGCTCCACATGCGGGCAGTTACAGCAGTTTTGATTCACTTGCGGTCCCTGTCCACATCTAAATTAATACTATAAATACTTTTCTAACACCCGGACATCACTTAAAGCCCTTTGGCTGCTCTTTGTTCCACGGACTAAATCTCCCTTCTTGTTGATCAGGCCTGAAAGTATAAGAAGATCAAACATTAAGAAAACGATACAAATTTCCCGTTCTGCCACACACTGGCCGGTCGGGGACTCGAACTCGGGCCAAAAGGGTGGGTTCGGTCGGGCCGGGACCCGAACCGGTCCCAGGGGTGGGTTCGGTTGGGCCGGGACTCAAGCCCCGGGCTGGTCGGGTGGGTTCGGTCGGGCCGGGACTCGAACCGGTCCCAGGGGTGGGTTCGGTCGGGCCGGGACCCGAACCCCGGTCCCGCCGGTAGCTCAGGCCCGAGCGGGACTCGAACCCCGGGCCTTGGCGCTGCGGGCGGGCGGGAGGAAGTGCGCGGCGGATGAGGCGGGCGGTGCCGGCGGATGAGGCGGGCGGTGCCGGCGGATGAGGCGGGGCCGCGCCGCGCCGGGCTGAGCCGGGCCGGGCTGAGCCGCGCCGGGCCGAACCGCGGCCATGAGCTTCGAGCAGCGCCGGGGCCGCGGGCGCGGCCGGGGCCGGGGCCGCGGCGGGGATGGCGGCGCCGACTCCTCCGCGGCGGGCGGGCCCGGCGGGCGGGAGCGGCACCCCGGGCACCTGAAGGGCCGCGAGATCGGGATGTGGTACGCCCGCAGGCAGGGCCAGAAGAACCGGGACGCCGACCGGCAGCAGGTGAGGGGCGCGGGGATGGCCGGGCGGGCGCTGGGCGCCGCAGAAGGCGTGCGGGGCTGCTCTGTGCCGTGCGGGGCTGCCGGGCTCCGTGCCGGGCTCTGTGCGGGGCTCTGTGCCGGGCTCCGTGCCGGGCTCCGTGCCGGGCTCTGTGCCGGGCTCTGTGCCGTGCAGGGCTGCTCTGTGCCGCACGGCTCCGCGCTGACGGGCGCTGTGCTGTCTCTGCCCAGAGAGCCGTGGTGCGCATGGACGAGCGCCGGGAGGAGCAGATCGTGCAGCTGCTGAACTCTGTCCAGGCTAAAAACGACAAAGAGCAAGAAGCCATGTCCTGGTGGTCCGGGGATGAAGAGGGGTAAACAGATATCATTACCAGTTCTTTTATTTATTTTGAATTTCCTTTCCATAAGCTGACAGGAAGATGTGTCAGAAGTGGTTTAGCTTTACTGAGTGCACTGGCTCAACAAATACCCTCCAGTTTCTCCACATGTGTTGTCACACTGAAATGGTTGTAATAATTGCTGTGAAACTCTTTCATTATTGCTGAGTTTGGGGTGTTAAATTTCTACTTAAACTCAGAAAAGTTCTAACTCATCTCTAGGCTTACTGCAGTAGATATATGGGATTTTCAGCTCCCTTGGCCTCTGGAATTACTCCTCCAGAGGTGGCTTGTGGCTTCTGTTTTCAGTTGCTGTGCAGTCTTGGAACATTTTTGCAGGGTCTGTTCTGGAGTCGTTCAGGATTTGCAGGAATAGCTGGAATAGGCTGGTGTGCTGAAATGAGGGGATTTGGGCTCCTTTTGGCTGAGGGATCCAGTTACGGGGCAGTGGGTCAAGCAGTCATTCTCTGCTGATGTTTTGTTGCTCTGTGGCTTCATTTGGTACAAAATAACATGTTGTTACAAAAGAACGTGTTGTTTTTAGATCCTGAGGTCGGGTTTTTGGTGGTTGGTAGTTTGAGACTTTATTTGGTTTAATGATTTTCACTGTAGTGACAGACCCAGAGCGGCTGTGGCTGCCCCTGGATCCCTGGCAGTGCCCAAGGCCAGGCTGGACATTGGGATTTGGAGCAGCCTGGGATGGTGAGAGGTGTCCCTGCCGTGGCAGAGGTGGCACTGGGTGGGCTTTAAGGTCCTTCCAACCCAAACCATTCCGTGTTTCTGTTCCCCTGGACTGTTGGTTCATTACCTGCTGGCTGTGGTTACCTGCACTCTGCATGTGGCCAGGCACAGCTGGGGAAGTCTGAAGTTTGTGTTCTGTGGTTGCAGCCCTGCTCCAGAACAGCCTGCCAAAGTGAAACCAGATGCTGAGAAGGCTCCTGTCAGACGGACACCAGCCTGGGAAAAAACATCCCTGGATTTGGATGTAGAATTCCTCTGTGAAAAAAACGAGCAAGATGCTGATTTAGATGAGCAACTTAAAGAAGACTTAATGAAGAAGAGATCTGATCCCAGATATATTGAAATGCAGGTACTTTTCCCTGTGTTAAGTTGAAAACTTTTCATTGGAATTTTTTAAAAATTAAGCTCACCTCAAAATGTAGTATCTTGTAATTCACTAGAAAGTTGTCATGATCTAAGTTTTGCTAAAAATTATCTTTAGAATTCATAAAATTCATACCTATTAATAGAACAGTGATTAAAAATTGGAAATGACAAATTTCAGAAACAGTTATAATCTGAAATTTGAAGCTGACGCATTTTATTGGGTGGGTTTCTCTTTCTTTTTTATGGCTTGTGTCCCTGCAGTTACGTCTGAAATGAAAGCACAACACTGGGCTCTGAAGGAATGGCCTATTGCAAACAGGTTTTGTTTCAGCCACGTGTAGGAAATTGTCTGACCCTGAACACCAGTTCTCTCTTCCATACCAGGCCCTGCTCTTGCACCTGTATATACCTACCCATCATGTACTGAATTGCTGGGCTGGAGTCGTTTTTCTAATTGAGCAAAGCTGAAACAACACATGGAATTAAAGTTACTTCCCACGGGCCTGTGTTTATACAAGTTTGAGCAGTTTGTCGTTATTTTGCAGTTTAGCCCAGGTTAGAGGTGAAATCTATTCTATTGCTTCAGTGCTGAACAGCTGTTTAAAGAGAAACATTTCTCTTTTTCCCCAGAGATTCCGAGAGAAGCTCCCCTCATACGGGATGAGAGAGGTGAGTGTGTGGAGAGGCAGAGCCTCTGAGGTGCCGTGCTCCCAAACAGGGCAGAGTTGTGCCTGTGCCTGGCAGTGATCCTTCGTGGCCTTCAGGAAGGGGAGAAGCCTCCCAGGTTCTGACCCTGGGCGTGATTCCTTTCCTGACACTACCAGGGGCTCACTGGTTGTGATGTGGGGCTCCGTACGGCGTTCTCATGGGAATGTAACTGGGAATATCATGGGAATACATGGCTGCTACGTGCATTTAATATATTTAATATTAGGTCTTCTTTTTCTGCCAGTTAAGCTTCTAGAAAGTTCCTGGTTACTCAGATTGCTATGCTTTCTTCTATGCATAAAATTGTGCTCTTTGTTGAACAATTAGCCAGTTTAGAATTTAGTATAATGCCAATTAAGCCTTTTTAGCTTTAACCACAGACTTACTGGCTGCACTGCTAGCCCTCAGTGCCATTAGTTTCCCAGTCACAGCACAAAGTCAGTGAGAGTAGGGGCTGTTATTAATTGTTGTTAATTATTAGGCTGATATTCCCTGTATGCAGTAGAAATGGAGCATCCTGATATGTTTGCTTTTGCAGGCTCAGTGGGTGATTAGTGAGCTCCTCCCTGCAGTCTCTCTATTTGCCATAATGTCCTTTCTGTTAGCATTTGTTTCTTAAAATAGTCATACTCCCCTCAACAGTCCTTGGGGTAGGAGGACGAGGCTGGGAAACTGTCCCTGTTGGGACAAGGAATGTTAAAATATTGTGCTGAAAACCTTTAGTTTGTGCAGGCTTGTAGTCCAACAGGGCAAACTCTTGTGTTCAGCCTCCAAAGATCTACAGGAGCCAAGCAGCAAGCAGACAGGTTAGAAATGTATTTCAGGCTTTCATTTTAGTTCTTACATGTTGTTTTCATACAGGATCTGACGTATTTAAAGCTGGTGTTGAGGTTGGGTACGCTTTAAACCGTACACATGGGAAGTGCAAATGTGCAGAAATGGCTTCTGTGAGGTTTAAGCTAAACTTTTTTGGTAGCTTTACAAGAGGCAGCCGAGCATTTCTTCAGCTGTCGGTACTTTGCTCAGCGTTGATCCCAGAGGAGCAGAGAGTTCTCCAAGTCCTGTGCAGTGTGTGTGTGCAGCAGCGCAGTAGCTGTCTGTCTTTGCGTGGGCAGGAGCTGGTGAGGCTGATCAACAGCAGCCGTGTGACGGTGATCAGCGGCGAGACGGGCTGCGGGAAGACCACGCAGGTGACACAGTTCATCCTGGACGACCACATCGAGCGCGGGCTGGGCTCCACGTGCCGCATCGTGTGCACGCAGCCGCGCAGGATCAGCGCCATCTCCGTGAGTGCCCTGCCCCAGCCTGCTGGGAATAGCTGTTCTGGTGACATAGCTGGGTATTCACAGCTCAGCCATCTCTGGAGCACTGGCACTGCAGCCCCTACTTCTGCCCTGCCCTTAGTCACAGGCTGTATCTGTGATTTTAGTGGATTTGGGCAGTGCCGCATCGTGTGCACGCAGCCGCGCAGGATCAGCGCCATCTCCGTGAGTGCCCTGCCCCAGCCTGCTGGGAATAGCTGTTCTGGTGATGTAGCTGGGTATTCACAGCTCAGCCATCCCTGCAGTACTGGCACTGGAGCCTCTTTCTGCCCTGGCTTTAGTCACGGGTTGTATCTGTGATTTGAATGGATTTGGGCAGTGCGACTGCCCATTCAGATAAAAACTAATGTTGTGTCAGGCCCTCTAGAGTGTGTTAATGAGCAGGAACAAATCTGGCTTTCAAATGCTCAGTAGTTACTCTCCTTGATAGTTCAGTGTCAAATGGCCAAGCTCACCCTGCTCAAAGGGGAAGGAGCTGCTCATGCCCGAGTGGCTGAGTTCCTCTAGAGTCTTGTCGCTGGGTTGCTGCTCTCAGGAGAGGAGAAAAGGTGCTCTTCAGGGCGTTTCTTTGTTATTTACAAACTGTCTCAGTACCAAGTGTTCCTACTGCTGAGCAGCTCAGTCACAGATCAG